TCACAGTGTCTGACACATAGCAGTCGCTATATAAATGCTTATTCTCTTCTCTTTTCTCTAATCATATGAAAAAAAGGCTCTTTCAGATTTTGTTTATTAAAAGGACTGTGCAATTACCCCCAAAGCAACGCAGTCTATTCTCTTTCCCCTATTAAATTTTGGGCCTAATTCATTGCCCATCTGCAAAGAAAGCTATCCAAAAACTATGTACCAATGGACCAGCTCCATAGGTTATCCATCAAATTTTAAGTCATAGGCTAAATAATAGGAAAAATGCTTGGCTTTTCCTGTGTGGATATACAGTGCAAACACTTTTGAGTGAGTATAGATATCATTTAACTAAGGTGTATAATATTCTGGGGCTTGGTGTAATCAGCACAATGTCATCTTCAAACAGGAGCGACTGGAAGACATCACCATCTATAAGGAATCCCTTTTACCATTTGAACTCTGTTCCTCACCTCTTTTTGGTGGCAAAAAATTTCTTCGGTGAATCCAAATCCCCTTTTTATACATTAATTAATAGACATAATTAATAATTATCATTAATATTAATAATAATCAAAAAGTCATCAAAAAGTACAAACTTTAAAAGTGCTGTGAAAATGAGTTACTGTTATTGTATCTTAAGATTTTGACATATGCATGGGAGACACCCTGTTGCAACATTTTGCTCTACTGAATCAAGTGCTTTTTTTTATATAAATAATAAGCATCTATTTTTTGTGTGAGTCAATTGGGGTTAAGTGACTTGCCCAGAGTCACACAGCTAGTGAGTGTTACATGTCTGAGGCCAGATTTGAATTCAGATTCTCCTGACTCCAGGGCCAGTGATCTATCCACTGCGGCACCTACCTACCCAAGCACCTACATTTTGCAATATGTACCTTGCCCTGTCCTTTTCTTCCCCTACTCTTCTTCCACCCTCCAGAGCCATTGCTTTTTAGAAAGCAAAAAAGAGGGGAGGAAACAGTTCAACAAAAGTAATTAAAACCTCCAAAAAGAAAGTGTGACATCATCTATAGTAGGAAAAGTTCTATGTCACTGTAAGTTCTATTATACTGTAAAAAATTATGAAAGGGTTAGTTTCAGAGAAAGCTGGGAAGATTCTTGAAAACTGATGTGAGTAAAATAAGTAGAATCAGGAAAAAATTACACAGAAACAACAATATTATAAAAATAAACAACTATGAAAGACTTAAAAAACTCTGATAAATAACTGACTAACCCTGATTCCAGAGTATTCGTGTTGAAATCATGGTATCCATCTCCTGACAGAAATGAAATGTGATGGCCTTAGAGTACAGATTAAAATATAGATGAATAGATAGATCTATAAAGATATCTAGATCTAGCATCTAGATAGAATAGATCAAGATGGAGATATTTAATAACATAGATGATTTAGACACACACACATATATGTAGATAAAGGTATAGATAGATGGAGAGGTTAATATAGAACTAGAGATAGAGGTAGAGATAGATTATAGTTATAGATAGATACAAATATAAATATAGATTTAGACATAGATGAGATGTAGTCCATGTTAGAATTTGTTTTGCTTGACTATATGTGTGTGTGTGTGTGTGTGTGTGTATAGTCCTTTATATATATGGATATAGATATAAAATTTATAAGGATGTTGTTTTTCTTTATTTTTCACTTGGGAATAGTGAAGTGCTTTGAAGTAGATGACCTATGAGGCTCCACCTCTGAGGTTCTATGAGTCTGTGAGTTTGTTAGTGAATATATTCTCCAGAAATTTCTAAGGGGACTATATTCTCTGGAAGATTCAGAGAAAAGTTATCCAGTTTGCTGGAAATCAGTAGAAATACCAACCAGAGACTACAGAACTCATATATATTAGGGAAATTACAATCATTCAAAACAAAAACAGTTGCTCTTGCAAGAAGAATCATCTTCTGGGGAAAATCTGTTGTCTACTCAGTGAGATACTCAGGGTTGCTGATGTTTGCTGAAAGAGCCAAGAAGAGACATTGGATCATAACCAGCAGATGTTCCCAAATTTCTGCTCCAATTTGTCCCCCAAGACAATGAACCTGTTGATGTGATAAATATTTCAGTCCAAGAATTAGTATGGAAATAATGTACTAAAACAAAAAAATGAAAATTAAATATGAGAGCGGCAATAAAAGTAAGAAGTTTTTGGTTTTCCTTATGACTATGAAGCCATAGTAAGTGGTAGAGAGCCTTTTTGGGGATAAATTATGCTAATCCAGATAATTCTGACAAAATGTTAGAAAGTAAGTTAGTTCCACAAGGAACTCTCATTATTTGGTTTAAAAAATAAAGATTTTTTTTAAATTTTAAATTAATCTGATAATAAGGCAACTTTCCTCTTGCCTGAGATCTGATCAAATACTATCTAGTGTATCTACCTACAGAGTGTTTATGATCAAATTGCTATAGAAAAATGCTTAGTACTCCTTTGACTTTATAAAGAAAGAATCTGAGATGGAGAAATATAATATTAGTAATGAAATATAAGATATGAAAATGAAATTAATGAAATGATTAATTTCACTCAAGCTTACTTAGTAATGAAATTAATGAAATGATTACTTTCACTCAAGCTTACTTAGTAAGTTAGGAACTTATAACTTAAAAATATAACCTTTTTTCAAAACATGCCTATAAGCAAGTATGATAATGATTTTTGAAAAAAGGAAACAATGTATAGAAAACTATAGGAGGAATTCAATGTCACATAATTTTTGAAGTCAAACTATAACACAAGCTTCCAGATTATCAGGACAAAGTTTTTTTTCAACAGGAACTCGATTGGTCAAATTTCAGCTTATTTATTTATCAAGAGGAGCCAAAAAGCATAGGCAGGGCAGACAAATTATTTCAGGGAAAGACAGAACTATTGTATCATATGTAGTCTGCTCTTACCAACACAGTAGGGAAAAGTCAGACTCAGTATGGTTTTAAAGATCATAGCTTGATCTTTAGGCTATAAGTCCCTTATGGAGAACAATTCATTTTGTATTCCATGCAAAAATTCTTGTGACTACTGATAAATAATAATCATTATGGGACTGTAAGGGGTTTTATGGGGAAGGTGCCAGCAGAAGACTGGCTTCAGAGTCAGGAAGACCTGGATTCAAGATCCAGAGTACTAGACGTCACTGTACATTTTATACATTTTGACTCAGGAAATTAACTTACAGCATTAGCAAAAGGATGTCATTCCGAGGTAATCTTATCCCTAAAATAATCTCAAGATTTATATACCCTGAGAAATGGCAAATCACTTACCTCAGCAAATATAACACATCTGATCTTTTCCACTCATTCTTGACAATTAGGGGAAAGCAATAGGATTCCAAAACAGACCTACAAAGAAATATCGTGATTCACTCTTCTGAAACCTACTGATGAATTAATAATAATAACGCACACATAAATGGTGATTTAAAGTTTGCAAAGCTTCTAAATTGATCAATTCAATATATAATTAGTTTTCACTTTTTAGGACTAGTTTCATGGAAATAGTAATGCATCATGGGCATACTTTTGTTTAAATTCCTTAAATAAATGAAAGAAATCATATCAAAAAGAAAAAAGCTAATATTTGACTAAAGGTATTTTCACTTTTTGTTCTGATTTGTTTCATTATGAACAGTTCTGGCAAGAAACATATCCTGCATTGGAATTCATGCAACACCAGATACAAATTCAAATCAAAAACTGTACTGCTAAAAAACCTTATGAAATTAACTACTGTCATGAGTATAATGATAGAGAGGAAACAAGTCTCAATTGGATGTTAAAAGACTTGCTCAAGTGTTTACTGTCAATATGATGAGAGATCCCTTTGGCTGCTTTACCAACAAGGTAGGATGGTGGTCTGCTATTTTAAGTTTGGAACTCAAAAATACTGGTAGAGCCATGAGGTGTTCCTAACTTACTAAGTAAGCTTGAATGAAATTAATCATTTCATCAATTTCATTTTCATATCTCGTATTTCATTAATAATATTATATTTCTCCATCTCAGATTCTTTATTTATAAAGTCAAAAGAGTAGTAAGCATTTTTCTAAAGCAATTTGATCAAAAACACTCTGTAGCATTGAGTACCTGATGGTTAAATGCATAATGGTGGTAATCCCTTGTAAAAACATGACAAAGAACTTGACCTTCAGGCAGGCATTTGGTGAAACGACTCTGGACAGTGGTTGACACTTGGTTAACAAGGTCCCGGTTGATGCAGAAAAGGGGTCCATTAGCAAATCACAACAGAATAATAATGATTAGAACTTTTATTTGGGAGGCATCAGACCTAGGATTTCACTTGCAAAAAGAATTCCCTGGCAAGGAAACTCCTAGCAAATGAGATATCCAACTACTCTTCACTTTTAACCTTAAAGAATCATCTGGGTCACTAAAAAGTTAAGGTACTAGAACAGGGTCTATTAGAGTCAATGTTTGACAAAGGTGGGACTTGAACTCAAGGCTATTCTAATTCTAAGGAAGCCTCTCTATCCACTATTCCATGCTGGCTCTAAGGTAAAATATAAAAGATAATTCAAAAGTGCCTTTGAAAAGCATGCTCAGCTGTCACTCTAACTCAAAGAGCTTAATGGTTTCTTTTATATACAAAGCAGTTAGTCTAAAAATATTACATAGTGCTTTAAACTTTGCAGAGCACTTTGCATATGCAATCCTTACAACCCAGGGAGCTGGGTTCTACTATTATCTCTGTTTTACATATAAAGAAAGTAAGGCTAAGTGACTTGCCCTCAATCACACAGAAAGTACTGGAGCCAGGATTTGAAAGTGGCTCTTCTTGGCTCTCAACTCTAGCACTCCGTCCCCTGCACCAAGGTGCTTCCTAAATCTGCCAGCTATGCTATAAGGAGGAAGAACCAGTATAAGAAATATCTATATTTATGTGTGTGATATATATAGATATAGATATACACCTATATCTATATCTGTAAGTGTATACAGATATAGATATCCAAAATTCTACTCCTTCAGTGAATAATCATGGGTGCTATGGAATCATGGTTGGTCATTGATTAGTTGAGAGTTCTTAAAACTTTTTTTTTGGCCAGGGGTTACGTGACTTGTCCAGGGTCACACAGCTAGTAAGTGTTATGTGTCTGAGGTCAGATTTGAACTCAGGTCCTCCTGAATCCAGGGCCAGTGCTCTATTCACTGCACCACCTAGCTGCCCCTTAAAACTTTCAAAATTATTTGTCTCTATAATGTTGTTATTGTATAAGAGAGCACATAAGAGAAAAACAATAGCCATATATCCCATATAGCCAACCTCAAACTCCTCAGGAAGCTGAATCAGCCTGTGTTCACATAAGCCATGAACTCCAAGTGAACTCCAACTTCAACTCCAATTAGGGATAATGCACAAACAGTTACTAGACTGTGCATACCCTTTGACTCAACAGTGCTACTACTAGGCCTATATTCCACAGATCAAGAGGAAAAATATTAAAGCAGCTCTTTTTTTTTTGTAGAAGCAAAGAAATAGTAACTAAGGAGGTGTCCAACATTGGGGAATGGCTAAACAAATTATAGTACATGAATGTAATGGAATACTATCATACAGTAAATATAAAGAAAATGATGATCTTGGAGAAACTTGGGAAGATTTGTATGAACTGATGAAGAGTGAAGTGAGAAGAACCACAAGAACAATTTATACAATAACTGAATTATAAAGACAAATGACTTTGAAACATTTATGAACTTAGACCTATGTAATAAATAAACATGATTCTAGAGCAGCCATGCTTAAGTATGCTACCCATCTCATGGCAGAAAGGTGCTGAACTCGTGCTAGTCATGAGACCACACATTTTCTGACATGGTCAATGTAGGATTTGCCACTAACTAGCACTAACTAATGACAACTAACTAATGACCTTGACCATGTCATTTTTATCTCTCTGAGCCTCTATTTTCTCCCTTCTAATATAAGGGAGTTGAATTGGATGATTTCTTAGGTCCCTTTAAATTCTATGATTATGATACTATTACTGTACCCTCTAAATACATAGGGCAGCTAGGTGGTGCAGTGGATGGAGTTCAAGCTTGACATCAGGAAAACTCATTTTCCTAAGTTCAAATCTGGCCTTAGACATTTACTAGCTGTGTAACCCTGGGCAAGTCACTTAACCCTATTTGACTCAGTTTCTTCATCTGTAAAATGAGCTGGAGAAGGAAATGGCAAACCACTCTAGTATCTCTGCCAAGAAAACCCCAAAAGGGGTTGTGGTGAGTTAAACACAACTGAAACAACAAAACAACAACAACTAAATATGCAAATATGTGAGAGAAGTGTGATTTCATCAATGTGGGGAATTCTAAATTTGGGGAGTTCCTCTACCAACATAGAGTGCAGCTTAACTGTGATTTAGTAGATAATCCTAGGGAGAGGATAAATGATTTGCCCAGGGCCATGCACTTAGTTACTGAGGCTGTAATGTCTTCCAGACTCAAAACCCAGGCCCTCAATCTATTACACCACACTATCTCACTCTCTAAAGCTAAAGAGAAGAATTAAACAAATGAAATTAAATCCACCTCTTAAGGCTATACATTTCTTTAAAAAAGAGAAGATTAAGGTCAACAAAGTTATATCCACTTAAGTTCTACCTTTGTACGGGCCACATATGCAATCACTCCATCATCACTCTCCCTCAGAATTTTCTCCATGCAGTAATAAGAGGCATATGTTTTCCCGAATGAAATGGGAGCAATGATCAACTGACTCGTTATTGTCCACAATGTTAAGAACCTCTCACTGCAGATGTGGGAGTCATATACATGTGGAGAATAATGTGGACAGGCTGTTATCAAAATACTAAGCAAAGAATATCATGTAAATCAGTGTAATGCCATTGGAATTTTTCAAAACCATGCCTATATTGCAATGTATTTCATAGAATTCCTTGAACCCTGAACTGGAAGTGAGGTTTTCATGAAGGGAAGGAAGGGGTACTTATTTATTGTATATTTTGTATTTATTTATTTGTGTTCTGGTTATTTTCCCCCATAGAAAATAAAAACCTTGAGGGAAGGGGATGTTCCTTTTTTGTCTTTTATCCCCAACACCTAGCCCCACAGTAAGTACTTAATAAATGCTTATTGAATTCAATTCAATTCAATTGAAGTCCCTTCTAGATCTAAATCTATGATCTTAGGATAAATAGAAATATCCCATTCTTTAAATTGTACCAAAAAAAATATTTCCACAATATATAATATATCTCATGTAACATATAATGATCTCATAATGTTGTGGTAAATTATCCTTAAGTATACATGATAACATAAAGTTCTATTGAAGTTTCACTTGAAAACAAAATCTAAGAAAATTCAGCTCAATATCATTACCTGCCATGTGTCTGGAATAAAATCCTTAACCTTTGGATATGGATCTTTTCTCTTATCCCAGAACAAGTAATGGACCATGTGTTGTAGATGAAAGCGAGTTGGTCCCATATCAATAGGGTAAAGGACATTTTTGCTATTTTTACCATTTTCCATAACCTGTATAATTAATTAATATACTATTCGGGGTCGAAAAGATATTTATATGCCAACATACATTCCTTCATTCAACAAATATGCAATAAGTTACTATTATGTGCAAAACACAGTTTCATCAAGGTCTCAAGTAATATATAATTTGTTTGGGAGACAATTTGCTACCCCTGTCATCAGCCTAGGAATGAGAAAACTATGCAATGAAGAGAAATATAACCCCCATACTGATAGCCAATGGGTTAATTGGTGACAGGAATGATTATGTGACTATAGCACTCTAGGCCCTGGACATTTCACTAAAATCAAAGCTATACTTTTTCTTTTTCACATAATAGAACTGGCAAGGATTTTCCAATTTTATATTCATTCTAGTTTAGGTGGTTAGGTCGATAATAACACATGGAAGTGTAATTTTTGGAATGGAACCAAAGCAAAATACTTCGTCAAAAGAAAAAAAAAATAAGCTCTGTTTGCTAGAAGCTGTATTTATTCCTACTAATTATATGAGTCTTTAAAAGTGTAGGAAAAAATTAAATTACTGAAAGAAAAAATACATTATTCAAACATTAACTGTGTAGGATCCAAAGTTTTGGCCAAATTGTCAAATTCTAAATATTTAAGACATCTGGATATCTTCTTTATCTCTGGCTCCTGCAAAAATTCCTGGTATCTTTCCATTATGGAATGGATTATTTTCATCATATGAATAGCTATACTCAAATTTGTTACTTTGCCTAGGTAAAAGTAAAAATGTTAATAATTTTAAAACATGTTTAAAATCTTCTACAATACCAAACTCAATTATCTAGAGAATCTGTTCTCCATACCCCATTCTCCATAATCTGCATAACTGAAACCTTATTTTTGTACAAAGTACTGTTGGGTTTTGTGGAATATTAAAAAAAAAGGGTACAATTCCGACTCTCATGAGGTTTATTAGTTAGTAGAAGAAATCAGACCCATATAGAAATAATTGTAATGCACAGTAAAGATGAAATTTATTGGAGAGGTACAAAGTTCTCTGGGAATACAGAGAAGAAAATGATCACTGGAGAAAAGGGTGAGGTTGGGGGTAGGGTAGGGATGGGATGAGGTTCAGGAAGAAAATTCCATCTGATATAAACTTTGAAAACTGTGCAGCAATTGGATTATTAGAATAGAAGCTCCTAATGAATAAAGATTATTTCATTCATTCACTGTGTCTATCTCCAATGACAAGCAAAAAACAGGCATTTAACAATTGCTTCATAATTGATTCATGGATCTCCTGCTAGAGGTGGTGGTGAAACAGCATTCCAGGTAAAAATAGTAGAGTATACAAAGGTATGAAAGCAAGTGATCACACGGAAGTTTGGGAGAAGGTAAATCATCCAAGTTGGGTAGCATGTAAGGTATGTAAAAGGTAGTAGTGGGAAATAAGACTTGGAAAGATATATTGTGGACCATCATGGAGGGCCCTGAATATCAGGATTAGATAACTTTAATCTGCAGTGAAAATGTCCTTATTAAAGGTTTTGAGAAAGTGAGGTTATGTGAACAGAGCTGGGATTTAGAAAGATCAATTTGGCAGCCATGTAAAGGATAGACTAGAGGGGAGTCCCTCTCTCTGGACTCAGGTGTTGAGAATGAAAAGATGAGAAGAATGAAGAAATATTGTGGAAGAGCAATCCTACTAATCACCCAGCCTCACAATGTGTCAACCAATGCATCTTCCTCAACTTACATTCACTCCCCTCCCACCACCACCCATATCCAACTCATTGCCAGCTCTTGACATTTCTACTTTTATGACATACATCCTGTTTTCTTGACTCATACTGTGCCATCCTGGTGTAGGCCTTCATTGACTCATGCTTGAACTATTGCAACAGCTTCCTGGCTAATCTCCCTGCCTTATCTCTCCCCAGTCCAATCCATCCTCCACTTACCTGCGGAAATGATCTTTCTAAAGCACAAGTCTGACCATGTCACACCCCTCCTCAATAAACTTCAGTGGCTTCCTATTTCCTACAGGATCAAATATAAAATCCTTTGGCTTAAAAAGTCCTTCACAAGTTGGTGGTTCCTACATTTCCAGTTTTCTTACACTTTACTCCCTTCCATAATTCAGATACACTGGGCATTCTTGCTATTCCTCAAACCAAACACTCTATCTTACAATCTTCCCCATGGCTGGAATGCTTAGTTCCACCTCTTGGCTTCCTTGGACTCTTTCAAGACATTTTAAATCCAACCTTCTTCAAAAACGTCTTTCCTGATCCCCACATTGCTAATGCCTTCCCTCTGAGATTGCCTAATTCTTTGCATGTTGTTTCTTCAAAAATGTCTTTCCTGATCCCCACATTGCTAATGCCTTCCCTCTGAGATTATCTGATTCTCTGCATGTTGTTTCTACCATAAGAATGTAAGTACCTTGAGGTCAGAGGCCATGTTTTTGTCTTTGTATTCCCAGCATGTAGCACAGTGCCTGGCACATAAATAGTGCATAATAAATGCTTGTTGGGTCACCTGACCTGAAATTCTGAAGGAGTTCTAAAAAGAAAAACCCATTAATACAGTACTGGTGGAGATGGTCCAACCATTCTAGAAAGCAACATGGAATTATTCTAAGCCTATGACTAAAATGTCCATACCATTTCACCCAGAGATCACATTGCTAAACATGTAGCTAGTGGACTTCTTGATAAAAAGAAGAGTCATATATACCAAAATATTTATGGCAATTTTTTTGTGGTAGCAAGGAAATATACACAAAGTAGGTGTCCATCAATTGGAGAATGGCTTAAACTGTGATACATGAATTTAATAGAATAGACTAATGAAATCACAAATCAGTGTTAATCATAGAAAGCTATAGATTCAATCCACTTCAATGAACATTTATTAAGGGCTTACTCTCTACAAGGCCTCAAGGAGATTACATTCTACTGATGAGTGAAAAAATTCAGGATACAAACAATAATGGTAGATAATTCAGAGATTAATTTATTCTGTAGCAATTGTAGAAAACCTCCAAGAATTGAGGGTAAGAAGGGTGGAAAGAATATGAGCTAAATCTTTGAGATTAGGATTTCATTAAATAGAAGAGAATCATAAAGATATTCTAGGGATCATAAGAAAAGAACTTAGAGATTAATATGAGTAGAACATGTTCTGGAAAAAAGAGACAAATTTGACTAGGAGAAAACAACAATATTGGGGAGAAGTAGCAAATAAGGTTGAAAAGCAGTTCTAAGATTAGAGTGGTGACCTCGAGAGTATCAATATAGCATAAGTGGAGACAGCCTAGAGGTAGGCAGATCAATTAAAACTATTTAGGCAGAAGGATCATTTTTTATGGGTATATGTAAACATCCCTGCAAAATGTCAAAATCAAATATATTCAGCCATCTCCATTTTTCCACAACTAACCCCTTACATCACTCCCATATTTCCTAAGAATTGGCAAAGGTGGAGTGAAGGGAACATGTTAATCACTCTTAAAAGAGGTGGGAGGGGATAGGATCAAGTGCACAAGTATAAGACTTTTTCCTGGTATTGAGGAGGACCATCTAATCCTCCAAGACTGAAGAGGAGGAGGAGATGAGATGAGGGAGATCACAGAGGCTTTAATGTACTATTGTCACTTTGTTGAGGTTTAGGGGCTTAGGGGTGCTGGAATCCAGAAATCACGACACACATGGGTCCTACCCGAATGAATTTGACCCACACCTTCTTTCAGCCAAAGTCAAGGTTTATTAGAACATCCACTATATTGGCTCTTAAGGAATCCAAACATTACTGATCTATTGGTTAGATTATAACAATCTGAGCAGTGGCTAGATTTTAAAAATCTGAGCACTTTAACGAAGACAAGATCAACCTTATATATAGAAAGACTGTGGGAAGGATCTAGGAGTGGCCAAATAGTTTGGGGCAACTGGAGGAAGGGTCTAGGGAGAATCTGGATGGGAGTGGCTGGTAATCTGGGGTTTAGAGAACAGCAGGGACCAGGACCACACCACTTAGCCAAGAGAGAATGAAGTCTAGATAGGATTAAGGGGGGGAAGTGGCCAGGGGCAATTGGGAGGTAACAAAACAGAATTGGGAAACTGGGTGTAGCCACAATGAAAGGCCACTTGATAGGATTATAGCTTCAGATGAACTCCAGAGATTTGGCCAGGTGGGAAAGTCCAGGATTTTTCCTTTTTGGGGTTCAGATTCCAAAGACATGATCTTTTCCTTTCAGGGATTCAGATCTCATCCTTATCATTCCCCCTTCAAACAAATAGGACCCAAATTCTTTTGGGGTAAGGGATGAAGGTCTTGGCTTCTGAAACTGCTGCCTCAAGGGGGTCCCAAGGAGAAGGTTGACTGGAAGTGAGCACAGTCTCCATCCAGGAGACAATGGGGGGACATTGGTTGGTACTCGCTGTTTGCTACCAACTGTAGGTGAATGGCCTGTAGTCTGAAAGACTCAAATCTTACAGAAGACTGCAGACCCCAGATATAGGGAGAAGTAAAAGTGTAAGAGCCATATTAAAATCATTTACATTTGACTTGCAGGATTATTTGATCTCGTTACTTTTTTTTAATTTATTTTATTTTTTTTAATTTGTTTTGATTTATCAACAATTACTTCCATAAGCTTCTGAGTTTTAAATTTTTCTCCCCCTCCCTCTCCACTTCCCTTCCCAACATGGCACACAATCTGATACAGGCTGTACATATATTAAACATATTTTCACGTTAGTGATGTTGTAAGGAAGACTTAAAACCAGTAGGAGGAACCATGAGAAAGAGAAAACAAAACAAAACATAAGAAAAAAAATAGCAAATAGTATGCTTCAATCTGCATTCAACTCCATAGTTCTTTCTTTGGATGTGGATAGCATTTTCCATCATGGGACCTTTGGAGATGTATTAGATCATTGCTGAGAAGGGCTAAGTCTATCAACACTAGTCATTGCACAACTTGGCTGTTACTGTGTACAATAATCTCCTGGTTCTGTTCACTTCACTCAGTATCAGTCCATACAAGTCTTTCCAGGTTTTTCTGAAGTCCACCTGCTCATCATTTCTTATAGCACAATATTATTCCATTACATTCATATAACACAACTTATTCAGCCATTCCCCAATTGATGGGCATTCCCTCAACTTCCAATTCTTCACCACCACAAAACGAGTTTCTATAAATATTTTTGTACATGTGGGTTCTTTCTTCATTTTTATGATTTCTTTGAGATACACACCTAGAAGTGATATTGCTGGGTCAAAGGGTATGCACAGTTTTATAGCCCTTTGGACATCATTCCAAATTGCTCTCCAGAATGGTTGGATCAGTTCACAAGTCCACCAACAGTGAATTAGTGTTCCAATTTTTCCACATCTTCTCCAACATTTATCACTTTCCTGTTTTGTCATGTTGGCCAGTCAGATAGGTGTAATGTGGTACCTCAGTTGTTTTGATTTGCATTTCTCTAATCAATAGTGATTTAGAGCATTTTTTCATATGACTATAGATGGCTTTAATTTCTTCATATGAGAACCTCCTATTCATATTCTTTGTCCATTTATCAATTGGGGAATGATTTGTATTCTCATAAATTTGACTTAGTTCTCTATATATTTTAGAAATGAGGCCCTTATCAGAGACACTGGTTGTAAAAATTATTTCCCAATTTTCTACTTTCCTTCTAATCTTGTTTGCATTGGCTCTGTTTGTGCAAAAAAACTTTTCAATTTGATGTAATCAAAATGATCCATTTTATATTTCATAATGTTCTCTATCTCCTGTTTGGTCATAAATTCTTCTGTTCTCCATAAATCTTCCAGGTAAACTATTCCTTACTCTCCCAGTTTGCTTTTATCAGCCTTTATATTTAAGTCATGAACCCATTTTGACTTTATTTTGGTATATGGTGTGAGATTTTGGTCTATTCTTAGTTTCTGCCATACTCTTCCAGTTTTCTTAGCAGTTTTTGTCAAATAGTGGTTGGACTCCTTGGATTTATCAAATAGTAGATTACTATAGTCATTGACTACAGTATCTTGCATATTTAATCTATTCCACTGATCCACCATTCTATTTCTTAGCCAGTACCAAGTAGTGTTGATGATTGCTGCTTTATAATACAATTTAAGATCTGGTAATGGCTAAGTCACCTTCCCCTGCATTTCATTAGTTCCCTTAATATTCTATACCTTTTGTTTTTCCAAATGAATCTTGTTATTTTTTCCAGCTCTATGAAGTAATTTTTGGTAGTTAGATTGGTATGGCACTGAATAAGTAAATTAGCTTAGATAGAATTGTCATTTTTATTATATTAGCTTGGCCTACCCATGAGCAACTGATGTTTTTCCAATTATTTAGATTTGACTTTTTCTGTGTGAAAAGTGTTTTGTAATTGTGTTCATAGAGTTCCTGGGTTTATTTCGCCAGGTAGACTCCCAAATATTTTATAATGTCTACAGTAAGTTTAAATGGAATTTCTCTTTCTATCTCTTGCTGTTGGGCTTTGTTGGTAATATATAGAGATGCTGATGATTTATGTGGGTTTATTTTATAGCCTGCAGCTTTGCTAAAGTTGTTTATTATTTCAAGCAGTTTTTTATTTGATTCTCTAAGAATATCATCATGTCATCTGCAAAGAGTGATAGCTTTGTATCTTCTTTGCCTGTTCTGATACTTTCAATTTCTTTTTCTTCTCTTATTGCTAAAGCTAACATTTCCAGTACAATATTGAACAATAGTGGTGATAATGGACATTCTTGTTTCACCCCTGATCTTAATGAAAATGCTTCTAGCGTGTCCCCATTACATATGATGCTCACTGAAGGGTTTTAAGTAGATGCTACTTATTATTTTAAGGAAGACTCCATTTATTAACCATGCTCTCTAGTGTTTTTAATAGGAATGGGTGTTGTATTTTGTCCAAAGCTTTTTCTGCATCTATTGAGATGATCATGTGGTTTCAGTTAGTTTTATGATTAATTATGCTAAAAGTTTCCTTAATATTGAACCAGTCCTGCATTCCTGGCATAAATCCTACCTTGTCATCTTGTTACTCTTTTTTAAAGATTAAGTAATACTTTTGCAGGTTTTCCACCCCTGGGTTCAATAGTTATACGAATGAATTTGAACTTGCCAGAGGCTGACTTTCACTTCAATTATTACTGAAATTCTCCTCCCCAAACCAAACTGAAGATGTTTCTGATTTAATTTTAGTTGTTTTGGGGTATTGAATGACTACACATTCAGGTAAAAACAGCAAGATCTCACACACTTGCATTGATCTTTTACTGAACATTTGCTCTGATTATAGAAATTTGCTATGAAAGGATAAAGCAGGATAAAGATATTTAGGGCCCAAATATGAGGGGATGAAATATCCTTAGCTCTGTTTAGATTCAGATAATTCACAGTTTTCCAACCATGTAATATTAAATCCACCTCATAGCCAGTCCCAGGAATAGTCAGGTGGGTCACATTCTTTTCAAAGGAACAAAATGGGGAAACTGAGCCAGAAGGATCCCATCTTAGACTGAGGCTAAAATTGTCCTCTCAGCTTTTACTAATGATGACTTCCTACCAGTATCACATTCTCTGAGTAACTTGTGGCCTTTCTCTCAGATGGTGGATTATTGATTATTGATGGATTAAGATCCATCAGACAACTCAAAATAAAATCCCATAAGCTTTTACCTCAAACAGCAAGTTTCACTAATCATAGTTCAGTAAAAACTTTTCCAGGATTTACATCTCAAATTTAAATATGTCCTGGTGTAAAAGGTCAATCATTAGAGATTATTTATACATACTTGCAAATTCTCAGCAAGAGAAAACTCAAACAAGCTTTTTGGCAAGTTTACAGATTAAAACAATAACCAAATTATTTTAGTGGTAACCAAATTATGAAATGTTGCTTGTCATAACTGATACAAAAAGTTCACCAATTTGAAACTTGAAACAAACCCATTACCAATCAGGTGACTTGTTTTATTAAATGCATTTCCAAATTACTTTACACAGAGAATCAACATCTCATCATTAATAGTTATAACTGCAACTTTAAAAGAGTGTGCTTACCCAAGTTCAGAGGCTAGCTTGAGCAGGATGTGCTGAACCTCGGTGATGCTTCCAGGCAAAGGTTGCTCCAGGGCCCAAGCCCATTCATTGCCAGGGGGTCCGATGCTATAGAAGGTGAATTTAGAGGTGGGGGGTAGGGTGAAACTCTCTTCTCCTATGAGAAGGATTAACAAATACCCTCTTGACTCAAGGGAAGGGAGTGGGAGAAGGGAGTGACCAAGTGTTTCAAAACTCCTTAATGATGGATCACAAAACTTCCAGAATCTGCTAAGATGTTTTTAGCTGTTCTAACTTTTCCCTGTAACCTCTATGAAGGAGGATTCAGGAATGTAGAGGAAAGAGAGTAAGTAAGCCTCAGGGAACCAAAAAACACCTGCAGTTTTCCCAATTCCCTAGTGCAGAGAGAGTTGACAGAATTGGGCATATGCTTCTGGATAGGACATCCATCCTTGTCCTCTATGCTGTGGAAGATGTACCCAAATCTTTGGCCTCAAACCAAACCAGTAGACCAAGAGCCTGAGAGCATCAGGCCAAGTGTGAGACAGTATTGTAACTGTCATCCAGAAAAGCACCTCCAAGGTTTCCTAAGTGTTTGGGGAGCAACCAAGTGCAAGGCAAGAAAGAAGGGGAAGAGGCTTACATACCTTCCAGTTTTGGCTGGAGAAAACTTGGAGTTAGGCAGCTTCCCCATACAGGCCACCAAAATGTTGAGGTTTAGAGATTTTGGAACCCCAAAATCAAGACAAGTGGGGCCTGACCAAATGAATTCAACCCAAGTCTTCTTTCAGTCAAAGACAAGGTTTATTAAAACATCTGTCATATTGAGCAGATTATTAAGGAATCTGAACATTACTGAGCTGTTGGCTAGATTATAAGAATTTGAGCAATGGCTAGATTTTAATAATCTGAGCCCCTGGGTATTTTTTCTTAAGGAGTTCATTGATGGCTTTTTCAATTTCTTTTTCTAAGATAAAGTTATTTAAGTATCCTATTTCCTCTCCTGTTAATCCAGGCAATGTATATTTTTGTAAATATTCATCAATTTCACTTAGGTTGTCAGATTTATTGGCATAGAATTGGGAAAAATTGTTCCTAATTATTGCTTTACTATCCTCTTCATTGGTGGTGAATTCACCATTTTCATTTTTGATGCTGATAATTTGGTTTTCTTCTCTTTTTTAAATCAAATCAACTAAAGGTTTATCTATTTTATTAGTCTTTTCATAAAACCAGCTCTTAGTTTTATTTATTAATTCAATGGTTTTATTACTTTCAGTTTTATTAATCTCTCCTTTGATTTTCAGGATTTCCAATTTGGTATTTGGTTGAGGATTTTTAATTTGTTCTTTTTCTAGCTTTTTTAGTTGCATGTCCAATTCATTGATCTACTCTTTCTCTATTTTATTGATGTATGCATTTAGAGATATAAATTTTCCCCTAAGCACTGCTTTGAGTGCATCCCATAAATTTTAATATGCTTTTTTCTTTATTGTCATTCTCTTTGATGAAATTATTGTTTCTATGATTTGTTCTTTGATCTACTCATTCTTTAGGATTAGATTATTTAGTTTCCAGTTGATTTTAATGGCTCTTTATTAAAAGTAATTTTTATTGTATCATGATCTGAAAAGGATGGATTAAGTATTTCTGCCTTCCCTCATTTGGTTGTGAGGTTTTGTGCCCTAATGTAGAGTCAATTTTTGTGTAGGTTCCATGGACCACTGAAAAAAAGATTTATTCCTTTCTATCCCACTCAATTTTTCCAAGAGATCTATCACATCTAACTTTTCTAAAAATTCTACTCACTTCCTTAACTTCTTTCTTGTTTATTGTGTTCTCAGATTTATCTAGTTCTGAGAGGGGAAGGTTGAGCACCCCCACTAATATAGCTTTACTGTCTATTTCCTTCTATAACTCATTTAACTTCTCCTTTAGAAATTTGGGTGCTGTATCATTTAGTGTATATATGTTTAGCATTGATATTACTTCATTTTCTATAGTATCTTTTAGCTAGATGTTGTTCTCTTTTAATTAGATCTATTTTTGCTTTTGCTTTGTCTGAGATCGTGATTGCCGTTCCTGCTTTTTTTTTTACTTCAGCTGAAGCATAATTTATTCTGCTCCAGCCTTTTACCTTTACTCTGTGTAGAGACACAGAGAGCTGCTTCAGATGTGCTTCTTGTAAATAACATTTTTTTAGGAGTCTAGTCTTTAATCCACTCTGTTTTCTGCTTCCATTTTATGGGAATGTTCATCCCATTCATATTCACGGTAATGAGTGTTATGTATTTCCCTACATCCTATTTTTCCCATTTATACTTTTCTCTCTCCTTTCAACCTGTCCCTTCTCACCTGTGTTTTGCTTGTGACTACCACTCCCCTCAATTTTCCCTCCTTTCTCTAAGAATTCCCCCTTTTCTCCCCCTCCCCTCCTACTTCCCTATAAGGTATGAAAGATTTTTATATCCAACTGACTGTGTATGTTATTCCCTCTTTGAGCCAAATCTAATGAAAGTAAGTTTCAAATAATGCTCACCTTCTCTGTCTTTCCCTCCACTTTAATAGGTCTTTTGCACCTCTTCATGTGATATAATTTATGCCTTTCAGCCTCTCCCTTCCCTGTTCTCCCAGTGAGTCCTCTTTTCCAACTCTTAATTTTTTTTATATCATCCTATCAAAGTCAACTTATTCCCATACCCTCTTGTCTACGAATATTCCTTTTAACTGCCCTAAAAAAGATACAGTTCTTAAGAATTACAAGTACTATCTTCCTGTGTAGGGATATAAACAGTTTAACCTTTTTGAATAATGTGCTATTGTTGTTTTTTTTTCTTTATGCTTCTCTTTAGTCTTGTATTTGAAAATCAAAATTTCTGTTCAGCTCTTGTCTTTTCATCAGGAATGTTTGAAAGTCCCCTATTTCACTGAATGTCTATTTTTCCTCTGAAAGACTATGCTCAGTTTTGTTGTATAGTTGATTCTTGGTTGTAATTCCAAGGGCATTGCCTTCTGGAATATCATATTCCAAGGCCTCTAATCCTTTACTGTAAAAGTAGCTAAATCTTGTATTATCCTGATTGTGGCTCAATGATACCTGAATTGCTTCTTTCTGGCTGCTTGAAATATTTTTTCCTTGACCTGGGAGCTCTAGAATTTGGCTATAATATTCCTGGCAGTTTTTATTTTGGGATCTCTTTCAGGAGGTGACCAATAGATTCTTTTAATTTATAATTTATTCTATGGTTCTAGAATATCAGGCCAGTTCTCCTTGATAATTTCTTGAAAAATTATGTCTAAGCTCTTTTTTGTATCGTGGCTTTCAGGTAGTCCAATAGGTCTTAAATTATCTCTCCTGATCTTCTAGGTCAGTTATTGTTCCAATGAGGTATTTTGCATTTTCTTCTTTTTTTCTTCTTTTGATTTTGTTCGATTGATTCTTGATGTCTCATAGAGTAATTAGCCTCTATTTGCTCAATTCTGATTTTTAAAGAATTATTTTCTTTATTGAGCTTTTGTATTTGGCCAATTTTACTTTTTATGGAATTGTTTTCTTCTGTGAATTTTTGTGCTTCCTTTACCAAGACGTTGACCCTTTTTCATCATATGTTTTCCCAATTTTTCCAAATTTCTTAGAATGCATCTTGGGCAATTTTAGTCTTACTTAAGAAAGAAAATTGTGGACAGGAAAAAAAAAAACAAAAAACAAAGAACCTATCAACTCCAGATAAGGGTCAAGGAGAAAAACACATAAAAGGTATTATATTGACAAGCATTAAACAAAATAAATTTATAATTCATACATGTAATTTTTTGTTCTCCTTTGCTTTAACAAAATCTTTCTTTGGCCCAACAGATTGAGTTACAATGGTTTTGGAAGTAGTGCCTTCTAAAGAGTTTCCAAAAAATTATTGAAAAGTCTGTAACTTTTGCATTGATTTGAGAACATACTGGGATTTTCCTTTAAAAAATAAAAAAGATTGAAGACAAAATACAGTATTTATTAATTTACTAATTTGTGTTTTAACAAGAATCTTTCTCGGGATAGCTAGGTGGCGCAGTGGATAGAGCACCAGCCCTGAAGTCAGGAGGACCTGAGTTCAAATGTGACCTCAGACCAAAACACTTGACACTTACTAGCTGTGTGACCCTGGGCAAGTCACTTAACCCAAATTGCCTAAAAAAAAAAAAAGAAAAAGAGAGAATCTTTCTCCAATCCACCTTCCCTCCCCTACACATATATACAGTGGAGCTTTTTTTTCATTTTTCAAATAGTAATCTATGAACCAAATATAGAATAGCAAACATAACTGCCAGATTCTCTCAATTAATGAGAGGATTTTAGGTTCAGGTAGATTCTTGTTAATAAAACTAGCTTGCCACCTGCTTGATTTCAGGCAACTTAACCTTCCTTGGCCTCAGTTTCATCACCTCTAAAATGGGGTGGGAATGGGACAGTGGCTTCTCAGATCCCATCTAGTTCTAGATCTATAAGGAGAGGCAAGGATATAAATAAAAGATAATTGCTTCTCTCCATTCCATCCCTACATAAATTACCAAGTTCTTAGGATCATAGCTCTAAACCTGGAAGGAATCTCAGAGGTCATCTAAACCAACCCTTTCTTTTCAGAGATGAGGAAATGAGATCCAGAAAGGTTAAGCAACTTCCCCAAGCTACCCCAGATAGTAAATATCACAATGGGGGAGAGGGATGTGAACCCCAGATTCCAGAGTTTTTCATTGACTCTTTCCACTGTACCACCCCACCTCCCTCTAATAAAAATATAATCAACTATATAAGCCAAAGACACTAAAAAGTGATACATTTGCTAGATTGTGTGTGATTGTTAGACTACAAGGTTTTAATCAGGCTTTGGGGGCCAATTTCATAGATTCTATGACAGGAAAGGACTTCGCATATTAATTTTCCCACATCCTTATGTTGCACTGAGTCCAGTGGGGAGATCAGAATTCAAACCTAGAATCTCCAAAACCAAAACTAATGTGCTTTCTATCACGATGCCCATATTGAATACATCATCTAACTGTGATTGTCTCTAACATGTTCTGGATATAAATATCATAAATTTCTGTATCACAAACTTTTTATGCAAAGAAAATAGATATCTTTACACCAAATGTTCAACAAATTAGTGTTATATAATGTAAAGTACCCTGGCTTTTGAGTCCAGGATCTGGGCTTTAACCTCAACTTTGTCACTTACTGGCTTTGTGACATTAGGAGAGTTATTTGCTTTCTTTGGACCTCAATTTCTTCATCTATGAAAACGAGGGAACTGGATAAGATAATCTCTAAGGTCTCTTTTCACATTATCTGTATTGAGAGTCATGAATACATCAGCATCTGCAGCCATATGGAAAGGACACATAATTCCCACAATCAATCCACAATCATTTATTAAATACCCACTATGTGCCAGGCATTGTGTCAGGCACTAGGGATACAAGACAAAAGTGAAATGGCTCATGCACTCAAGGAACTTACACTTTATCCAGGGAACAAAATACATATAAAAGTGTATGTATGTACACATGTATGTACGCATTTGTGTGTATATGTGTGTATGTACGTGTGTATTTCTATGTGTGTGTACACATGTGTGTTTAAAAATGCAAAATATATAACAATAAATTAGATAGAGCACTGTACTAGCAGTGGGGGATGAGGGTTGAAGTGGGGCAGAAGGTGATCAGGAAGGCCTCATGTAGAAAATGGATCTTGAGCTGAGTCTTGAAGGAAACCAAAGACTCCAAAAGACAGAGGTGAGGATGAAAAGCACACCAAGCATGGAAAGAACCAGTGTAAATTCAGGTAACAAAAAATGGATTGTTGTATATGAGAAGTAGTCAGAAAGTCAGTTTGACTAAACAGTAGACTGTATGAAAAGGAGTAATATTTGTTAAAGATTTTAAAGTACATTGAGGTCAAATTGCAAGGGCTTTAAATTCCAAAGAAAGGAGTTTGTATTTGCTTTTAGAGACAATCAGGAGCCTCTGAAATTTTTTGAACAGAAGAGTGGGCACAATTTAGCATAAAGCATATCATTCACCTTCAGAATCACAATTGTATTAGGATTGAAATAGACCCTTTGTATCTATGTTACCCCGAAGGCAAATTAGCTCAGTTTATTTCAATAAAGCCACATAGCTTACCATCTGTAAAAAAACTTTGTTCTCTCATAATGGTCACTAAGAGGCTTATGAGAATGCCAGTGCACAAATTCATGAAACTCCTTACACTTGACCAGGGAAGTAACAACTGGGTCATCACTACGAGATATAAAATGCAAAAAATGTTTAATAGCATACCCCCAGAACACAATGATGTCTGAAGCACTGTAGCATTTTGGTAGAGTGAACACATACAAATCTGAAGGTGTGTTATCCTAAGACCATAAGCAAGGAGACCACAAGCATTTCCACCTAGAAATGTTCATATCTTATTCATTCTTATCCAATTCAATTCAATAAACATTCATTAAATGCCTGTTATGTACCAGGCACTAAGCTCTGGGGATACAAAAAAGAGGCAAAAGACGGTCCTTGCGCTCAAGGAACTTACTATTTAAAGGGGAAGGCAACATGCAAACAAATGTATATGAAGCAAACTATATACAAAATAAATAGGAATTAATTAAAAGAGGAAAAGCCTTTGAATTAAGAAAGGTTAAGGGAGTTGTTATAAATAGGCCCACTAAGCCTCCTCCCCACAAAGTCAGAAGGCTTAGTGTCCGGCCAATAAGGAAACTCTTGTCCCGAGTGAAAGAAGAATCGTTTAATTACATTTCTTGCAAGAGACAGATGAGTTCCCTTTAATGAGAAAAAAGTGTCCTGATATAGAAGCAAGAGCAAGCTTTATACTGTTACTCTATTCAGTCCTTCCCTTGGAGCTCAGATTGGTCCAAACTCTTTCAGGTTGCAACCTTCCAGTCTCGCCTATTTTCATGTCCCTCCTTGATATATTCTCTCTACCCTGTCATACATTGTCATGTGTCCCATGTTATGTAAATGAATAAAAATTCCTCCCTGGTGTGTGTTGGATAATATTTATGAGGCTTATTAAGCCTGGGTACTAGCAAAAAGTCAGTGACTGTCTCTTGAACCGGACCAGTTTGAGCCAGTTTCAGTCGAAGCCCCTTTTATCAGAAACTCCTTGGTTAGCCAGCTTTTCCTTCTAAAATCTGATTGGTCGATGGTGTTTGCTATCTTAATCACCTTGAAACTGCAACATCCTGTAGAAACCTAACTTTTTAGTATTTGTATTTCTCACAATTCCCCCATTTTCTTTTAATAAAGATTTGGTTTCCACACCTTCCCAATTTCCTTATTCTCTAATCTCCTTAACATGATTTTGCATTGTCCATCACTGGGGAAAGTCTCATTGGTACTTTCAATCATCATCCTTATATTTCCAGAGCCTGCCCTCTGAACTCCCACTGTGGGTCCTACTGGGATAATCTTTAGTGAAAGATGTCTCTATCAATTGTTGTATCAGTCCCCTAGTGCATGGAACTACACAACATCCTACAGCAGTTAATGCTCCTGAATGGATATGGCCATTCCTTTCCATTTGTCAAACCAGGATTCTAACCATCCCTTTAATCAGTTATTTATCCCAGAGTTCTCTGCCAACTCCTCAGCTAAAGTGGTTAAACTTTGCAATGCCTTAGTGATGGTTCTATCTGGGGATGTGCTGCTGGGCAACATTTCATCAAGGGATTTTGAGGACTTAAAACAATATGGGAGAAGGAAGGGAGGAATTGACTGATGCATTGAAAAATTAAAAAGGAAGCAGTCCTCTTATTAAGTACAGATACAGAGACCCAAAAGTAATGATAAATTGTCCATTTAAAGCTTCTGAAGTTTCTTCTCATATAGCTGTCTGACACTCTGGACATCATCCAGTGAAGTCTTCTGGTCTAAGTGCTATTCAAACAGTGTTCAGTAGACTCTCTTCTTGTAAAAATCCTCCTTCTTGTGTCCACTCTCCTACCAGATTGATCTTAATCCAATTTTTAAATTACCTTGCCAATAACCAGGGCAAATAATGAAAATTAACTCAACCCCTATGTCTTCACTATTACAAGTTCAAAATTGGAACCTTGGCCATTTGTCATGTTTCAAGAAACTCAAATTAGAAAAATTAAAACTTAGACTTACACTCTGCATTACTTCTAGTTTTATACCTTGCATTAGTTCATTATTCATTCCTATTCATATTCCCCCATCAGGAAGATGCGATTCCACT